ATAATCATCTTTTAATAATAAATTATGTAAAAATTCAGAAAGTAATAAAATATTACGAAATGAAATTTTCCACAATAGAAAATGATTAAATTCGAAGTAATCCGAAAACAATAAACCTGAAACAAAATACGTTAAAATACTAGCTGTTGAATTTCGAAAGTTTACGTTATCGTTAAAAAATTTAATATTGAACTTCGAAGGTTTTCAATAATGAAATAATACATATCGAAATTTAACCGTTAAATTTTGATTTCAAAGGGTTGCGACACAATCGATAACCTTCGAAATCTAACGTTGCGATATAATTTTGAAGGTTTTCGGATTAATATAATTACTGATGTGCTACAAAATAGCAACGGACAACTAAACTATAAGACTTTTATTTAATTTCGAAGTTACCAGACAACTAAACTATAAGAATTTTATTTAAGTTCGAAGTTACATATAAGTTCTCAGTTACCAGACAACTAAACTATGAGACTTTTATTTAAGTTCAAAGTTACATATAATTTACCTTGTAGTACAAAATTAAAAATCACATAAGTTTAGAATTTTTTTTTGTTTATTCTAGAAATTCTAGAATTTTTTTTGTTACCATAATAGGTATGATCAACATCACCTGAATTTGAAAATACTCCTGACTGTAATATCCTTTTTTTAAAAAAAATTATTTACATACTGTTTATATTATATTGTCATATTTATTATAATATTTATTATATTTTCAATCTTACAATATTATTAACTTATATGTACATGTATAAATAATATAATAATGTCATAATAATAATGTTATTAACCATTACAAAAATAAATATGTATTAGATGAAGTTTTCTTTAAAATCATTAGATCAATGACAGAAGAAGTAATGGAATGTTTAAATAAGTTAGAACGAAATGGTTTTTTAAGTTGGAAAGGCAAGATTTAAATTATTTTGAAAAGTATTATTTCTTTATTTTTTTTTACAATATTTATCATTATTATTTATAAATTTATTATTCATAATAAATAATTTAAAAAGCTTTTATTATTTATTTATTTATTTTTGAGAGGAAATTTAAAAAAAGAAAATTTATTAATATTTTTTTTTGATATTTAAATTAGTAATATTATTGTTTATTAAATTCTTTCTGAGAATTAAAAAATTAGTATTATTCTTTATTCTATAGTGTAAATAAATACAATTGTTTTTTCAATATTAATTATTATGTTCATTATTATTATTCTAATTATTATTATTATAAGTTATTAATGATTTAATTATCACCCCAATTTTTACCATAAACAGAGATAACTCTTTGTATCATAAGACTAGCTGTTGAGGGAGCACTTTCACTTTTATCTTTTTCACTATTTCCATCAGTATCATTATTATTATTAACAATATTTATTTGGACAGCTGATTGTTTATCGTTACTATTTTTTTCGTTACTATTTTTATTATTATTATATCTTAGTGGAGATTTTTCTAGCCGTAATTGTTCTAGCCGTGGTTGAATTGGTTTAATTGGTTGAATTGGTTTAATTGGTTTACTACTACTATTATTATTATTATTATTATTATTACTGCTGCTATAATTATTATTTTTAATCTCAGTAAAATTAATTCCACCTCTCTTAATATTCAATAAATTTTTAAAATCTTTACGAACAGATCGAAGTTGACTAAAATCTAGAGCACTTCTTTTACCAGTATCCGAAATTTTTTGATATTCATTTCCTTTACGTTCTTCTATAATTGAATCAGTTTCTTCTATTGATGATCCACTTTCTTGCTCTTCTTTTAATTCTTTTGTTATTACTTTTTCTCTGTTTTCTTCATGTTTAACTTCTTTAGGTTCATATATGAAGAAACGTCTTTGTTTACGTTTGTTTCCTTTATTATTGTCATCGTTATTTTCATTTTCATTATTGATTATTCCTTTTTCCGGATCCGATATTTCACCAAAATTATTATTGTTATTATTATTGTTATTATTATTGTTATTATTATTATTGTCATTATAATTGTTGTTGTTTTTGGCGTTAAATGATTGCCTTTCTGTACTAAAACTTATAAAACTACTACATTTACTACTATAATGACTATTACTACTGCTATTATAACTATTTATTCTATTATCCTTGTTATCATTATTCTTTTTTGACCATGTAAATGTTTTTTTGAAGAAAGAATTTTTATTATTATTTCTATCGTTAGAAACTTTACTATCATGTGAATACCTTGGAATAGAATTAGAGTGAACACTTGAACCCTCATCAATATTATAAATATCATCAATACCATTATTTTCATTACTTCCATTATTTTCATTATTTCCACTAATTTCTTCATTATTTTCATTATCATCATTATTTTCATTGCTATTTTCATTATTGCTATTACTACTTTTATTATTAATACTATCATTATTTTTATTTCTATTTCTAATACAATAGAAAATCTTATTTCTAAATGTAAACAATAGAATTGTAAGTAATAATAACATTAAAAAAAGAATTATGGCAAGGATGATGACTATAAAGATATATTTGTTATCGGATTTTCCGGAAGGGGAGGGATTGGATGAAGGAAATGATTGAATCCAGGTAAATTCATGAGGATTAGAAAAATCCAAAACATGAATTTCGGATGTTGGAGAAGAATCATTTTGTGTTATCAAACCTATTTAAAATATATATATATAATATATATATATATATATAATGACAAATAAATAAATAATCATAAAGAAATAAATAAAAATAATTTAAAGAAATACAAATAATATAAATAAATAAAAATTTATAAATACCAAATGCAACAATCAAATTATTTCCAATAATATTAGCAGTATGAGAATATCTCGAAGGTATTGGATTTTTAATGTCAGGAGTTGACCAAGTAAATGGCGTAGTTGTCGTATCAAGTATAGAAATATCAGAAGAAATTGGATTACTGTTTAATTTGTTTATTCCTCCGTAAAGAATTAATTTTCCATCTCGAGCTATTTTTAAAAAATAATAATAATAATAATGACATTTAAATAAATGAATAATTAATTAATATTACAATTTATTAATAAAATTTTAACAACTTACTTGGAGATAATGAAAATGAATCTCGACCTGAAGGAATTTGACCTGTTACATTCTAAACGATAATTATTATATAAAATAGAAAATAATAAAGTTCATAAAGATATGAAAAATAAAATAAAATAAATAAATAAATAAAAAATAAAATTATTTTTTAATTTACCTGATAAGTCCATGTATTATTTACTAAATTGTACATATTAATCTTTTAGAAAAAGTGAGAGTTAGTTTAGTATTAAAGTTATATAATTATATTGATAATATATACATAGAATATATTAGAATTCATGATTACCTCAGACATAGATCTATATTTCGAATTTTCAAGATTTCTCCCTCCGATCATTAAAATATTTCCATTCATTAATTGAACAACAAAAGGTTTACTTAATCCATCAGTAACATAGAAGTTTTGATACGTTTCAGTTGATATTGTTTGATTATTTATATTATAATAAGGTAATACATATTCATTATTATTAAGTTGACTTGCTTGGAATAATAATATTCTTGGAATTTCAATAATATTATTTTTGACGTAGTATAGAGAAATTTTACAAATAGCAGATGTACCCCACCAATTACTATTATTTTCAAAATTATCAATTGGTAATGAATTCAAAGAATTAATTGATGGTGGTGAAGTTGTTATATTCAAAATTGATAAATTGATTCCAGTAGGAGGTGATTGATTCGTAAGAATATAAATGACTTGATTATCTTTTTGACCACAAAGAAGTGTCGTTATTGTATTATCAATTAAATTATTATTACTTAATGATGATGATGATGATGATGATAAATTTGTGAAATGAAATTCAGTTTCAGAATGTGAGGAGGAAGAATTAAGGAAAGGTGATATATCAAGAGAATATAATGAATTATTTGGATTATTGGATATTGTGCCGCCAATAAAATAAAGTGTGGAATCCTTTATTATTGAAGAATGTCCATATCTTGGTTCAGGATATATTATTGTAGTTTGGTCTTTAGCCAGTATAAATGTAATAAAATAAGGATTGAAAATACAAGATATTAAAGTAAAGTAAACAAAATTCTTGATTATATTGTTTTTCATCTTTGTGATTTTTTTCCTCTTGTTTTCTTGGTTGATAGGTTGGTAGATTGGTAGAAAATGTTAATAAAATAATTTTTCAAGGCAATAATTCAATTAATTTAATAAGACGTTTGAGAAAGTTTATCTCGCAAAGCAAAAAGAATGAAGAATTAAACGAAATAAATAATTATGATTGATGTAGTAAAAGTACCGATTTTATCATTTTTTTAAAAAAAGCATTAGAACAAGAACATAATGCTTATTATATTAAATGTCATTATTAGTGTCAAATCACTATTTTGTTTAGCGTGTAAATTATTAATTACATTTATCGTTTAAAAAAATTGAAACCGGAAACTAGAAAATGAGAAAAAAGACACAAATAAAGAAAATAAAAAATAAAAGAGAAGAGAACGAATAATATAAACCAATTCCAGTAATTCCAGTGATATAAATTATATCTAGAAAAAAAAAAGAATTTGAATTAATAAATTCATAATATTAAAATTATCGCGCGTAATTGGTAATAAATAATGCAAATCATGTTTGGCTTTCTTTTTCGAGAAATCCTTTAATAAAATGATCGATACTAAAAAACGTACAACCAAATATGCTAAAAAAAAGTCTTATAATAAACATGAGGAATTTTTTTAGTTAGTGTTCAAATAGTATTCAGTATTATTGTTAGCTTAAAAAAATTAATATTATTGCATTGAATATATTGATAAATTTTTTAATTTAAATAATTAAATAATGAATCAAAAGATAAAGTAGTACATAAAAATAATATTTTTTTCTTACGGATAGATTTAATAAAAATAAAAATAATAAAAATAAAAATAATAAAAATAATAATAATAATAATAATAATAATAATAATAATAATAATAAAAATAATAATAATAAAAATAATAATAAATATAATAAATATGAAAAATAATAAATTAAAATTCAAATAAAAACGATAAAAATAAAATAATGAAACATTTTTAGTCTTGAAATTGTGTATGCAAATTCGAAGGACCAGAAATCACATATTCTTCATCTGCTAAATAAAACAAAAAAAAATCAAAAATTTTTACAAACGTATAATAATTTAAAACACAGAAATTAATAATTAATTACCATCGGATTTTTTTTGAATTATCGACTCCAATACTTTTAAGATAAAGTTCCATTTCTATAATATTTTTTAATTTTAAATAAATGTGATATAATTTATAAATAATTTTACCATCGGAAATTATCAAATCATTTAGTTGAGAATCAAACGCTAAATATATATAAGCACACGTATATTATTGAATAAAATAATGATTTTATTGGAACATAATAATTTGAGATAACATACTTTTTTGTTCTATAGAAATGAATAATGATTTAAAATAAATAAATAATAAATAATATAATTAATAAATTATAAAATAAAACTAATAAATAAGAAAAACCTATAAAATTTATTTACCTTCCTTGGCATTCCTAGGTTGAATTGGAATGTTGAAATTATATACTTTACTATTTTGTATTCTATATACTTTGTTTTTTGTTTTTTCAATTGATTGAGTATTTTGAGTATTTTTAATTATTTGCTTATCCTTATTTTTTGTTGATTTGAAT